AGCCCAGGCTAACCCGATCTCATTAGATCTTGGGAGCTAAACAGGGTCAGCCTGGCTATTATTTGGAAGGGCGACCTCCAAGGAATACCAGGGCTGCGCCTGCGATGCAGAGGCAGGCAGTGGCAAACCACCTCTGAAACATCTCTTGCGGTTGTGTTTTTTTTTAAAGTCTAGCTCGTTACTAGTGGTGCATAATGTTAAAAGAGCTAGAACTTCTGGCTGTTAGACAATCTTAGGATCTCCTGGCTATTCTACACACAATGCCATACAATAATTATTATGGGTCAGAGAAAGGAGGCTGTTGTATCTGCATGGGCGCTCTGAGAACAGTAATGTGTCGGACTCCCATCAGGCTCAAAGCCATTTGTGCACAGACACAGTTGATGAGAACAGTATTTTCTGTGTGGCTGCTGTGCTATGTGCTGAAGAAAAGAAGAGATTGGATTTAAAACTACCCTTCACTACCCAAAGGAGTCTCAGAGCGGTTTACAAACTCCTGTCCCTTCCCCTCCCCACAACAGACACCTTGTGAGGTAGGTGGGGCTGAGAGAGCTCTGAGGGAACTGCTCTTTTTCAAGGACAGCTCTTGTCAGAACTATGGCTTGCCCAAGGTCATCCAGCAGGTGCGAGTGGAGGAGTGGGGAATCAAACCCGGTTCTCCCAGATTAGAGTCCGCACACTTAACCACTGCACCAGACTGATAGCACAGACTCTTTTTTTCAGCTGCCATCATAGAGATTGGAGTGGCTATAGGGTTGCCAACCTCCATGTGGTGGCTGGAGATCTCTAGGAATTACAAGTGGTCTCCAGTTGACAGATATCAGTTCCCTGGAGAAAAGGGCTGATTTGGAAGTTGGTCTCTATGGCATTATACCCTGCTGAGGTCCCTCCCCAGGTTCTACCCCCCCAAAAAAAACCTCCAGGAATTCCCCAACGCAAAGCTAGCAAACCTATATACGAAGAGCTCCCATAAGGATCCATTCTCATTCCCCATAACAATACCTGTGGAAGCCAGTCTGGTGTAGTGGTTAAGTGCACGGACTCTGATCTGGGAGAACCGGGTTTGATTCCCCACTCCTCCACTTGCCCCTGGCTGGATGACCTTGGGCAAGCCGTAGTTCTGATAAGAGCTGTCCTTGAAAAAGAGCAGTTTCTGTCAAGAGCTCTCTGAGCCCCGCCTACCTCACAGGGTGTCTGTTGTGGGGAGGGGAAGGGAAAGGAGTTTGTAAGCCGCTCTGAGACACCTTTGTGTAGTGAAGGGCGGGGTATAAATCCAATCTCTTCTTCTTCTTCTCCTATATGTAGGGTTGCCAGCTCCAGGTTGGAAAATACCTGGAGATTTAAGGGATGGAGCCTGAGGAGGGTGGGGTCCAGGGAGAGGAGGGGCTTCGGTGAGGCATAATGCCATAAAGCCCACCTCTCAAACTGGCCATTTTCCCCCAGGTGAATTGAGCTCTACCTGGAGATCAATTGTAATCCCAGGAGATCTCCAGTCACCGCCTGGAGGCTCAGGAACAAATGATAGGGGCCACGGTGTAACCAGAGTAAAAGGTAAAGGTAAAGGTTCCCTTGCTCGAAAGCCAGTCGAATCCGACTCTAGGGTTGCGGTGCTCATCACCGTTTCAAAGCCGAAGAGCCAGCGCTGTCCGAAGACATTTCCATGGTCAAGGCGCACGGAACGCTGTTACCTTCCCACCAAAGTGGTACCTATTTATCTACGTGCAATGTCTTGCTTTCGAACTGCTAGGTTGGCAGGAGCTGGAACTAGAGACGGGAGCTCACTCCGTCATGCGGCACATTCGGGTCTCGAACTGCTGAACTACCGACCTTCCACAGTCTGCAGTTCAGCGTCTTAACCACTTGAGCCATCGCAGCTCCGTAACCAGAGTAGGTGAACACTAATCCCAAAAAAATAAAATAATGTGTTCATGTAAAAAAAATTAATTGTGTCATAAATTTCAAGCCAATAAATCAGTATTAAAGAAAGACCTGTATCTGACGTTTTATATCTAAACATATTACATACATTACTTTACTCTGTCAGTTTACAGTGTGACTACTGTTAGCATCATAAAGAATCAAAACAGATGAAACCATATATAGGGGGCCCAGTTAGCAGGAGACCTCCTGACCTCGCCCCCATTCCCCTCTACCCACTTAGCTGTTCATCGGGGAACATTTAAGGGGGCTCTATGGCATCGCACTAACTCATTATGTCACTTCTGGGAAAAACACAGAAATGGGGTCAGACAGAGGTTGCATTCAGACTGGCAGTTTGGCCCGATATAGGCACATTTCACAAACGGATTAAATGGGCCTGGTCACACAGCCACATCTGTCAGGCATTCCCCGGGTGTACTCACCCAGTCAGAGGACGACTTGGAGCCGGGTTAAAAAGCCACCAACTCCAAAGTGGCGTTTTTGTTTCCCTGTGCATTCATTGCACATGGCTGGATGTCTGAACATGGGGGAGCGTATGTGGAACAGATTTGGCAGTCTGAACCTGCTGATCCATTCTGCTGCTAGGGAGGTGTCTTTTTTTAAAAAAATGCCTATACACGCATGTGCACGCATGTGCGCACATGTGCTTCTATGCACACACATGACTTTTGACATTTTTTTTGGCAGTGCGGTCCATGGCTGAGGCGCTGCAATAATGTGGATGCTTTACCATGAAATGTCTCCATGGGTAACCCACAGCAGAGTGTGCTGTGTGGTTGATATGCCCCACAACACTTTAAACCAGTTCAATGAGAGGCAGTACCATATCAAGCCAAACCTTCAGTGTGGACACGGCCAGAAAGCTGTTTCCTTGCAGGAAAAGTTGTTCTTCAGTTTCAAACAGACTTTTAGAGCTGTTGGCGTTTCAACAAGTAATTCCTAATAAATTGGGAAACACATTTTTTTTTGCTAATCATTAAAAATATTAAAATAGCGGATTGCAGGTGCCCTCTTCGAAAAGTCTTCTCTTTTCCCATTCCCACAATATGTATTTGAATATGTGAACTGCTCAGAGCCCTTAGGGGGTGAGCGGTATACAAATTGAAGGATAAATAAAAAATAAATAAGGAATTCCTTCCTGTCTGAAACCACTTTAAAACATCATCTTCAAAACTGTTGCCTTTACTCACATGGAAATAGGTGCTCATTTAATTAGTTCATTTATCATCTCCTAGGTTTATAAACAATATAATCAGGTGGAAGCCCAACCCTTTTAATTTTGGTCTAAAGTCATGCTTTGATTCTATGCAAACTGAAAATTTTTAGGAATGACCCTTAGAGAATCTGGGGCTTTTCCCTTTAGAGAAAAGCCAGCAGGATTACCCGGGGGGGGGGGGCATGAGGGAGGTTTATAAAATTCTGCACAGAGTGGAGAAAATGGGTAAAGGGAACTTTTGTGTCTTCAACCATAACACTAGAACTTGGATGCAACCTATGAAAGTGATGGGCAGAAGATTTAGGATGGACAGAAGAAAACTTCTTTTCTCAACAAGGAATGAAATGGTAGAATTTTACAGAGACGTTGATTGGACAGATAGATTAGAAGGAGGATTAGACAGATTCATGGGAGAGATTCAATGGCTATTATGATGAAAGAGAGATAGTAAGTGTTGACTATATTCTTGTCTGGGCTTAAATTTTTTTCAAGCATAAGAATACTAAAAACATGATCTCCCCATTTCTGTCTCGTCTTTCAGCTCCCGAGATGCATGTTGGTTTGTGTAATGCTTCATTGACACACACACCAACAAAAAACTACTAATTACAGCAATTTCTGAGGTCCCTCTCCTCCCTTAACCACATCCTCTCCAAGCCAACCCCTGATCTCCAGGAATTTCCCAACGTAGAGTTGGCAACCATACAAAAGCCTTCACAGACCAGAGTCCACATCTTCAGATGCACGGAATCCAACTTGTCCTGCTGTGTCTGCTACATAATTTTATGTTATTATTATTATTATCAAGTTTGGCTCTGGCACCTCAGCACTTTATGTTTATTATAACTGTATGATAAATTATGATATTTTATTGTGTTGTTTTATGTGTTTTACACTTTTGTGTACGTTGTCCCGAGCCTGCCTCGGTGGGGAGGGCAGGATATAAGTCGAATAAATAAATGAGCAGACTCTAAACTAAACCCCCAAAGCTTTTGCTGAAATAAAGCCATTAGTCTTTAAGATGGAGGGTTGCCAGCCTCCAGGTGGTGGAGGGTTGCCAGCCTCCAGACAACAGAGATCAGTTCCCCTGGAGAAAATGGCTGCTTTGGAGGTTGGTCTCTATAGTATTATACCCTGCTGAAGTCCCTCCCCTCCCCAAACCCCGCCCTCCTCAGGTTCCACCCTCAAAATCTCCAGGTATTTCCCGACCTGGATCTGGCAACCCTGTTAAGGTGTCACAATACTCTGGATTGTCTTTATTGCAAGGAATTTCCATTCTGGATTTTTTCCTCCTAAATGACACTGTCATAGAGATAAACCAACATTTGTATTTGTCTTCTTTTGCCTCGTTGAGGGATACAGTCCTCGATGTTCTATCCGAGCAGGCTTCTTCAGTGGCCCAGAAGGGCCCGTAGCCATAATAAAAATCTTGATTTTTATTATGGCTACGGGCCCTAATTTTCTCCTAATTTTCAAATTCATAATTTGAAATTACAATTCAAGACCCCCCTCCCCAAGCCTGAGGTCCAGGCCAAATGGCCCTCCTTCCCCTACCCCTGGGTGGCCCTAAACCCGAACCACTTTGAGGGAGCATGGGCCCGCATCCCGAAACTCTGCACATAGAGATTTCACCAATCTTTTCACCAGAGCCACTCATGATCTGTTCTTTTAGCATACTTACAGTGCCCCCTTGAGGGTGTTGCAGTGCTTGTGAACTTGGATTCAGCTGCCATGTTCTAACTTTCAGTTGGCATATGTATTTATATATATGTGCATACACACAGAGTCAGCCTCCTCCCCCCCCCACTGCCTTCCACAGTCTTTCCAACCAGCCTGCCTCTGTCAATCAGCTCTTTCCGATGGCAAGATGGCAGTGCAAGGTCTGACTGGGAGCTGTTTCCTCGCAGGCAAGTTTGTTCCTCGGTTTTAAATGGCCATATGGGATTGTACACTACAGGGGTGTGTGAGTATCATCTGCCTATGCCACTTATAAGAACTGGGGGAGGGGGGGGAGAATGCAGAGACATGATTTCAAGACCCCAAAAAGCAAGGGAGAAGGGTGCGGACAACGGATGTGTGGAAAGTTATATCTAACTTTAAACACTGCCCCACTTAGGAGAGGAGTGACCCCCCCACACACACACACCCTGCTCACTCTCCTTATTTATGTTGGCACCATTTTTAGCAAGACAAGGGTGAAATTCTTGGGATTCAATAAGGCAGCCTCTCCCTCTCTCTCTGTGCCACCTTCTAATTTTAGAGTGAGATTGCCCTCCCTTTTGTTTGTTGCTTGGAGTTGAGTCAGCTGTTGCCGTGTTTGTTCCGGCAAACGAGATGACAGCAATAGGTAGGGCGATATCTTTTATGAGCCGGAATTCTATCGGTGTAGAGGCGTGCAGGATCTTGCCCCTACCATGAAGATAGTTCCAGAGGGTCGCCGTGTTTGTCTGCAGTAGAGCTGTTAGGTTTGAGTCCCATAGCCCCTTTGAGTCCAATGAGAGTTTCAGGGTGTACGCTTTTGAGAATCCAAGCATATTAAAATGTATATTGTAATCAGCCTGATGAGAGCAGAGGGGAAATGTTTGGGAGCAGAAGATTAGGATCTGTAGTGAGATAAAAACCCTGTGTCCCTGTTCAGATGGGGAGGGTCCATTCTGTTTTACTGGGCTCCCCCTCCCAACCCCACTGGAAATCATTCCAAACCCGTCAAAAACGGCTGGACGTCATCCGCAAAGATGTCCAAGGCAGCAGCCTCCACTCCTAGATGCGCTAAAAAGTGCTGAAACATGCATATGTCCATGGATGTGTATAAAGTGCCGTCAAGTCACAGCTGACTTACTGCAACCCTATAGGGTTTCCGAGGCAAGTGATTAAACAGAGGTGGTTGCCACTGCCTGCCTCTGCAAACTCTACAAATTCAGAACTATGGACCTGCCCAGGGCTGAATAGTAGGGATGGACACGAACCACATTTTTGCACTTTGGTTGGTTCGCGGCTGAATCATGAACCGAAACACGAACTGATAATGCTAGTTTGAGAACCGAACTGGTTCTTATTGGTTCGTGAGCCAGTTAAAGTCTAACCCCCTGCTTTCTGCTTCCCATGGCTTTTCACAGGGAGTGGAAAGCAAGGGTTTCCAGAGGAGTGGTGGGTCTTCCTGGAAGTTTGTGGCAGTTCTTCAGTTCCTAAACATCACTTCAGGAACTATGAACTGGCCAAAATTCGTGATGAACTTTAGTTCGTCAGCCGGTTCATGGTCATCCCCTACTGAATAGAGACATGGGATTCTTATCTCACTAAAAGGGTAAAGATTTCCCTTGCTTGAAAGCTAGTCGAATCCAACTCTAGGGGGCGGTGCTCATCTCCGTTTCCAAGCCAAAGAGCCAGCGCTGTCTGAAGACATTTCTGTGGCCATATAGCCGGCCTAACTAAACACTGAGGCGCACGGAATGCTGTTACCTCCCCACCGAAATGGTACCTATTTATCTACTTGCAATTTCTTGCTTTCGAACTGCTAGGTTGGCAGGCACTGGGGCCAGAGATGGGAGCTCACTCCGTCATTCGGCACTCGGGTCTCGAACTGCCGAACTACAGATCTTCTGGTCTGCAGCTCAGCGTCTTGACCTCTGAGCCACCGTGGCCCCTTCTTATCTCACTATGGGTGCTAATTTTCTGCCCCCAAGCATTTCCCCCTGCTCTAATCAAGCTGACTGCAATATGCATTGTACCTTTGCATCCGTTTGCAAGCATTCTTTACAATACTCTTCCCACCTGCTGGCTGGGATAAGAAGACTCAGAGATCTCCATTTCTACTTGTGTCTGATGAAGGGAGCTTTGACTCTTGAGAGCTAACACCCTGAAACTCTTGTTGGTCTCTAAGGTGCTAGCGGACTCAAATCTAACTGTTCCCCCTCCCAGTTTGAGTAGTGGTTAAGTGTGCGGACTCTTCTTGTTGGTCTCTAAGGTGCTAGCGGACTGTTCCCCCTCCCAGTTTGAGTGAGTTGACTGAAAACTGCCTACATTTCTACACGAATCAAAGAGCAACACTGAAGGGGGGGAAAGCATGTTTTCCTTGATTTTACAAGATGCAAACATATCCACAGCAGGCACGATTCCGGAAGATGCATTCCCTTGTACATTTGTATCACAGAAAGGAAAGTGACAGACAGCTGTCATTTTTTGTAAGCTTGTATTAAGTAATCGACCGTCTTAAAAATGCTCCCTGATCAATCAGGATCACCCGTGTAGTCAATCAAAAGGTTTAATCAGCTCCTCTGTTGTAAATATATTTCCCTCGTATATAAAGATCTTCACTAGGAACCACTTAGGTTATTGGTACTATTCAAAGTGCTGGTTTGACCCTATAAAGTCCTAAATTAAATGGTATAGGGCCAGGGTACCCTGACCTGGATGGCCCAGGCTAGCCGATCTCATCAGATTTCAGAGGCTAAGCAGAGTCTACCCTGGTTAATACTTGGAAGGGAGATCACCCAAGGAAGTCCAGGGTGGCTGTGCAGAGGCAAGCAATGGCAAACCTCCTGACAGTCTCTTGCTCCTGATAGTCTCTTGCCTTGAAAACCCTACAGGCGACTTCCGGTTGATGGCGGCATGCTCACGGACTCACCTCTCGGACCTCCTGGGGGTGTCTCCGTGCTCTGGCAGATGGAGGGGGTGAGCAGGCTCGTAACCCTCCCCCAGGAGCCCGGGGAAGGGCACCTGGCCAAGGAGCTTTGAGGGGGTAGCCTCTTCTCTGGCCGAATGCCAGGGAATCGAGGCTCCCCCTTGCTCCAGTGGTCTGTCCAGCCGAGAGACCTGATGGTACAAGTGAAGCTAGCCGGATCAAGTTCAGGAGATCAGGCGTTTGAAATGATGAATGAAGAGGGGTCGGAAGACCAACTATGAACGGGAGTCAAATGAGAACTGATTTTTAAACGAAAAGACACTCCTTACCCGAAGCGGCGAAATGGCAGAAGCGAGTGGAAGAATAAACAAGAAATTGCCCAGAAGTACTCATTCATCGAGCTATACAGATAAGCGTATATTCAGAGACTTTAAAATTTATTGCGAAAGCAAACAAACGAGAAAAAGATGACGGGGAAGAGGGACAGAGACAAAGAGAAACTTTTAAAAGCGAAACTAGAGTCCCCGAAGGTGCCGGAAACGACCAGTGAGACGA